TAGTAAGGATAGCAACAAATTACTATATTTACTATTTGAGGTTGGGATGAAGTCACAGAGCATGATTTATAGGACTTTTATATAAAGAAATCACAAATCCAGGAAATAATGGTGCAAGCAAATGTTGGACAAATCTCTGTAAATTGAACAGTAGTATAGGGGGGTATCCTGCACACATAACCAGTTAATTTTTAAAAGATTTTATTTATTTATTTGACAGAGAGAGAGAGAAAGAGAGAAAACAGTAGGCAGAGTGGAAGGCAGAGGGAGAGGGAGAAGCAGGCTCCTCACTGAGCAGAGAGCCCAATGAGGGGGCTCCATCCCAGGACACCGGGATCATGACCTGAGCCAAAGGCAGACCCTAAACCGACTGAGCCATCCAGGTGCCCCATAACCATTTAATTTTTACTGAAAAATGAGAATACTAAAATCTCCTTCCTCTATATGCTTATGTAGATGATATGCAACCTGTTAAGAAATGTTTGAGGCATTTTCCCAGAATTAAAATTTCTGGAAAAGTCCTCATATACACTATATATACCTTACTAATATATACCCTAATAAGATATACAAAGTATATACTTAATCTCTTTGAATACATTTTGAAGCATAATCGCTAGTCAAATGATGCTTCTGAAGCTTATATTAATTTATAGTCCAATGCATTTGGTAAGAGGACAACTACTTTACCTCTTTCTAGGATATACTAGCTTTTATGGCTTTTATCTTTCTTTTTTCAATTTGATAATTTTTAAAAGGTAACTTTTGTAGATTTTTACTTTTTAAATTTCTAGCAAGATTAGATTATTTTTATACGTTTATAAAAATAGAACCAAAATTCCCAAGCATTAAATAATTTAGAGAGACAACCTATATGTAAGCAGTGGTGACTTGTTGAATTGTGATAGGAGTCAACAAAACACAGGTAGTATTGCACTTCTGCTAAAAATAATTTTCTACAACATGCACAGCATGGTGACTGTAGTTAATAATACTGTATTGTGTGGTTGAAATAAGTCAAGCAGAGAACGACAATTATCATATGGTTTCACTCATACATGGAATATGAGGAATAATGCAGAGGACCACAGGGGAAGGGAGGGAAAACTGAGTTGGAAGAAATCAGAGAGGAAGACAAACCATGAGAAACTCTCGACTGCGGGGAAACAAACTGAGGGTTATAGAAGGGAGGGGGGTGGGAGTATGGGGTAACGGGGTGATGGGTATTAAGGAGGGCACATGATGTGATGTCACTTGGTATTATATGCAACTAATGAATCAGTGAACACTACATCAAAAACTAATGAAGTACTATATGTTGGCTAACTGAACATAATAAAAAAAAGAAAGAAAAAAAAGAAAGCTGGTAAGAGAGATCTTAAAAGTAATCATCATGAAATGGATAAAGAAGATGTGCTATAAATATACAATGGGACACTACTCGGCCATTAAAAAGAATGAAAGCTTTCCATTTGCAGTGTCATGGATGCAGCTAGAGGGTATTATGCTAAGCGAAATAAGTCAGTCAGAGAAAGACAAATACCATATGATCTTACTCATAGGTGGAATTTAAGAAACAAAACAGATGAACATATGGGAAGGAAAAAAGAGACAGGGAAGCAAACGATAAGAGATTCTTAACTATAGAGAATAAACTGAAGGTTGCTGGAGGGAGGTGGGTGGGGGATGGGCTAGATGGTGATGAGTATTAAGGAGGGCACTTGTGATGAGCACTGGGTATTATATGTAAGTGATGAATCACTAAATTCTACTCCTGAAACCAATATTACAGTATATATTAACCAACTAGAATTTAAATAAAAATTTGAAACAAACAAAAAAGTTCTCATCATAAGAAAAAAATTTTGTAACTATGTATGGTGATGGATGTTGGCTAGACTTATGGTGGCATTCATTTTGTAATATATATAAATATCAAATCATGTTGTAACACTTGAAACTAATATAATGTTATATGTCAAATATACCTCAATTAAAAAATAATTTTCTGTATGCATTTTATTAAAGATAATTGTGCACATAATTTTTGTATAAATAAGTATTGTCACATTATATAATATTTTAACACAAGTACATACATTGAGATATATCATATATATGTATGTGTGTGTGCATATATATATACATGTATATATATATATATATGTAAAGTATTTGGTTTAAAATTATTTGCCAAGGTACAAGAGTCTGCAAAAGAGATTTGATTTTTACATGAACCAGTCATTACAAAATAGTCATCAAATGTTGAAGGTAAGAAAAAAACTAGCGAATTTATATATACAATTATATAAAACTAACAGAGTTATATATACAATTATTTAAAACGCAATTGAGTGCCTAGGTACACTTTTTATTTTTATTTCTTATTTTATTTTTTTAAAGATTTTATTTATTTATTTTAGAGAGGGGTGTGCATGTGAGTTGGGGGAGGAGCAGAGGGAGAGGGATAGAGAGAGAATCCTAAGCAGACTCGGTGCTGAGTGTGGAGCCCTGAGGGGCCTGATCCCATGACCCTGAGATCATGACTTGAGCTGAAATTAAGAGTAAGACACTTAACTGACTGAGCCACCCAGGCACCCCACACTTTATTTTTTATGAGAAATTTGCACAGTACAGATTTGTTGGTTTTTCCATTTAATGTTTTATTGTTTTGACATAATCAGATAAACAATAGCTAGAGCTTAATTAGCAATTTAAAAGATAGAGTAACAGGGTGCCTGGGTGGCTCAGTCGGTTAAGTGTCTGCCTTTGGCTCAGGTCATGATCCTGGGGTCCTCGGATTGAGTCCTGCGTCAGGCTCCCTGCTCAGTGTGGAGCCTTCTTCTCTCTCTCCGCACCCTCTCATTCAAGCTCTCTCTTGCTGTCTCTTTCACTCTCTCAAATAAGTAAATAAAATTTTTAAAAAAATAAAATAAAAAGTAGAGTAAGAAAACAAATTTTAAAAATTGTGAAGTCAAAGCTTGTAAAATAAAAAGTCATTTAATGAAGTAATTGCTTCAGTTAAAATGTCTTTTTGAGCAACTTGTGTGAGGTCAACTTCTTCCATCATACCCCAAAACAAATCCAGATTATTAGAGCATTAGCCCTCAAATGTTTTTCTCTATATGCTATAAACTCTTAAGTAGCCATTTTTAAACTTTTCTATATAACCTAATCAGCCATTTCCACTTCTTTTTGAAGACAACAGCCAATCTCAAGAAGTAGGTGTGACCTTAAGTGAGCTTAATCATATAAAAAGCACATTTGTCCAGAGAGGACTTCTTCTCTGGGGTAGATTGGCTGAATTTTTAGCTGCCAGGCTTTGGAGAGTGAAGAGTCCCTGCTGACCCTGCTAGCAACAGCCCTTCCAGACCTTCAAGAGCTTTCGCAGGTGAGGTTACTCAGTAGACTTTGTGAGTATGGAATTTAGAGTAAATATCTTCATGCCTACTTTTTCTTATAGAATTTAGCTGTTGTCCTGCTTGGGTCTTGTCCAAGCAAACAAATAGCTTTCTTAGTTATTTAAAATGCATCAATATTTAAAATATCTGTAACTAGAGCATTTTAATATACTAATATTTGTTATATTAAGTTATTTTTTTATTCTATTACCTTATGTGTTACTAAATATTTTTAGGTCCTAGAGATTTTGGCAGATTTTTTTTTAAAGATTTTATTTATTTATTTATTTGAAAGAGAAAGAGAGAGGGAGCAGGGGGAGAAGCAGAGAGAAAGGAACAAGCAGGCCCTGTGCTGAGCTTGGAGCCTAATTGCAGAGCTTGATCCCACAACCCCGAGATCATGACCTGAGCCAAAATCAGGAGTCGGAGGCTTAACCGACTAAGCCACCCAGGCGCCCTGAGATTTCTGCAGTTTTTATGCAATTATGGAACCCATAAAGCACCTGAAATATTCAACATAGTGTATGCATGTAATAGTCTTTATACCCAACAACCTAAAAGTTTAGTATGCTGAATTAATTAGAAAAACTTTGTTGTAAAAGTCCTATTTGCTGTCCCTCTAAAACCCTCAGTTTGCAGACTAGATTTGAAAAGTGTCCAATATAGATCCAACCAACTGGTAAGGACTCTCAAGAAGTGGTATTAGTCACCAGGGGGAAACACCAAAAATAAAGATGAATCGATCATGCTTCCTTTAACTATAGCTCCGTATTTTCTAGTGCAGAAAGGAAATCCCAGTGTTTATTCTCTTTTTTGTTTGTTAAAAAAAAATGATTAATTATTGCTGATTAGCACTGTAGCTTGAACATTCTCCAGTTCAAGATGTGAAGATGTTCCGATGATCTCAATTGACTCTGGGAAAAATTATTTTCTGAACTAGAAACAAAAGATAATTTTTATACTTTATTTCCTGAAAGGTAGAGTTTTGTTATTAAAGTTAGAAACATAAATTCAACTAATTGTAGTTTCAGGAGTCAAAGTTGAAGTCAACACTGATTAAATAACAAGCTTAAATTAAACCTAATCAATTTTATTTGTCTTTAGAAAAATACACCTGTCAGTTTGGAGACAGGATGCATGGAGGCTGTTAGCATAGCGGTGAAGTGTGTGTGTGTGTGTGTGTTACAGTTGTGGAGTCATGGAGAGAGAGACAGAGAGAAAGAGAGAATGGGAGAGATTGAGATTCTATATGTGCTTCTGGACCAATCAGCTAAGAAATGTTACTATGGAATCATCCTAACTTTTACTCCCTGCCCCAATCTTTAAGCTTGTCCACGTAGTTTAATTCTGATTGAGAACACTGTCTATTTGAAACAAAAACGATGGCGAGAACGCTCTTGTCCCATTTTCTTGTTTCATAGCATAAACCCAACCTGTTTATACTTACCATGCCTACGTTTGTACTGGGACTAAATTAATAGGTAAATTAGATAGAGTTCAAGCAGACAAGCTTTTGTCTAAAAGCTCTTTTTTTTTTCCTTATCGGCACAGAAAAGTGACTTTTCTTTCTCTTTTGTCTTTTTAAAAGTTTATAGAAACATGGATCTGGACACCTTGCAAGCCTTTCAGAATGAACTCATCTGCTCCATCTGTATGAACCACTACTTAGACCCTGTCACCACTGACTGTGGGCACAGCTTTTGCAGTCCCTGCCTACGCCCAAACCCCAATGTGCTGCCCTGAATGCAGGGGAGTTTCAGAGAAGTCAGACTTCAAAACAAATATTGCACTCAAGAAGCTGGCTTCCCTTGCCAGACAGGCACAAACTTACCGTGTCAGCAGCTCCGAGGAGCAGATCTGTGTGCTGCACAAAGAAGCGAAGGGGCTTTTCTGTGAGGTTAACAAGAACCTGCTCTGCACGCCCTGCTCTGAATCAGCAGAGCACATGGCTCATAGCCACAGTCTGGTACAGTGGGCTGCTGAGGAATACAGGGTAAGTGATGCCTCTAAAGCCATTTGGAATCTTACAGTCTTCTAATGGGAGAGCAAGATGAGGAAAATGATAAGGAAGTTGACTTGAGTGGAGATAGCAGAGGTGGTGATTTTTCAATAGAAATACCAAGATGTACATGCATCCTTTCAGTGCTGCTGACCAATATTGACACTATAATCATAGCTATGTTGAGCCTCTAAGAAGGGAAATGTCCTTAGAAACATTGTCCAAATATGTGCAGTTGATCCCATTGTGGGGCAGGTGGCTAGTACTGGGATCCCTGGCTTCTGATGCAAGCTTGATGTCTTCACAGTCAAATTATATAAAAATCTGAGTGCCAATTTCTAAGGAAATGGATTATATTATCTACAGAGTACCCTCAAATCTCTATTATGTTTGTCACCTCTGACATCCCAAATATTAGAATCAAATTAGATTCATGGGGAGAAATCTGATCTCTCCATGCTAACTCAAGATTGCAGTTTTCTCAGCCACTGACTTTTCCTATAGATAAGAGGATAAAATCTATAATATCATCTTCTGTCTTGCTAAAGCTCATGGTTATTTTGCAGGAGAAACTTCTGAAGAGAATGGGCTCTTTATGGAACATGACTCAAGAAATGCAAAACAGGGTGCCTGGGTGGCTCAGTCGTTAAGCGTCTGCCTTCGGCTTCAGGTCATGATCCCACGGTCCTGGGATCGAGCCCCGCATCTGGTTCCTTGCTCGGCGGAGAGCCTGCTTCTCCCTCTCCCACTTCCCCTGCTTGTGTTCCCTCTCTCGCTGTGTCTCTGTCTGTCAAATAAATAAAATCTTAAAAAAAAAAAGAAATGCAAAACAATCTGAATTAAGAAGCTAGCAAAATCCAGTCATTTGAGGTAAGAATGAAAATGTTCTGTTTTTATGCAGATTGACATAATGCTGATTGAGACTTGTAGCTAAGTTTAAGTTACCACCTAAAGGATAATTTTTTTTTCCAAGAAAAAGTAGTTGTTTCAAATGATATATCAGTAATTACAAATATACAGGCCAATAAAAGCTAGTGCAAAAATGCTAGTATATGGGATAACTAAGGCATGAAAGGTATTCCTAGTATACAACCTTGAAGGTTTGGATGAACCTTCTCAGACACTGAGTTAAGAAAACATCGCAATAAATTTGAGGTGAAAGAGAGGAGAACAATAGTGTAGCTCCTAGAGGAAAACCAGAGAATTTAATTTAAAAATCTATAAAATATGATGTATACATAAATATTTTTAAATATTTAGGAAAATCGGGCAAAAGAACAAGAGAAAAAAAGAGCTTCCAGTAAGAAAGGAAATAATTGCTGGAGTATCACAGCTAGAGAGCCTGGGACCCTTAGAGGGCTTGATTCAAACAAGGAAGGAGTCTTAAGAACCTAGAGAAAGGGTGAACAGAAAGGACCAGCAAATATCCAAGACACATGGAGATGTAGGGCACAAAGTTTGTCAAGTACTTTCTTGATGACACTAAGGAAATAGAACTCTCTGTTGAGAGGGAGGATATGTAACCCTTTGCATCTACTATCTCTTCAGGACTATGTGGCCTTAAGGAAGATGATGATCAAAGCGCAGTATCAGAAGATGCATCTATTTCTCCATGAAGAGGAGCAACTCCATCTGGAGACACTGGAGAAAGAAGAAAAGGAGATTGTCCAACAACTCAAGGAAAGTGAACTCAGAATGACCCAACAGAAGGAAAGCCTGAAAGAAATGTATAGAGAGCTGACTGAGGTGTGCCACAAGCCTGACGTGGAGCTACTCCAGGTGAGAAGGGAGGGTCCATCCTCACAGGCAAGAATCCTTTTTTGGGCAATGTTGCCTTGACATGGAAATGTTACCCACACATACCATTACTCTCAGCTAAGTGATACTGCTCATTGATTCCCATCATTATGTCTGCCCAACTATTTATTTCCTCATATCCTGGTAATTCGTGGGAGATTTCTGCCCTCTTAGTAGCTCACCTAGGACAAAATTATCACTGTGTAATCAGGAGTACTAACCACACAGATAAATTATCCAAAATCAGAAAAACCTGTAACCAGAGAAAGATTAACTTTGTTGAGGTAATTCTCAATTTATGTTGCCTTAATCCATTGTCACTCTCTGTCTCCAAACACCACCACCTCCTACCCCCCACCCCAGAAGTAACTTGCTGAAGATACTAAGGTTTTGCCCTTTGCTTAGGCAAGAATTGTAGAATTTGATAATCAATTTCAATGCACTCCATAATTTTTTTTATATCTAAGTTCACTGTTTTGCTTTAATTGTTATTGTAAATGGTCAGATCTCTTCTTGGGAATGAGACTGGGTGCTGAGTGACAGTGGAAACCTAAATCATAATGCATCACTACACAGCCCCTTCCTGACTTCCTTCCTTCCTTAATACACCCCAAAGAAGCCTATCATACTTTAGTGTAGGTTCTATTATGAAGGTAGTTTCTGATTGTTCCTTAGAGGGGAATAAGAGAAAAAATACATTATTTAAACAAATAAGAATACTAGAGAAGATGCAAAAGAACAAAACTCTCATGATTAACACTTTTTTTCCTTGCAGGACTTGGGAAATGTATTGCAAAGGTGAGTTTGAACTAATGATTTCTGATTACCGAGGAAGTCTCTTGTTCTTGGGGATAAAGTGGATGTACATGTTTTGAGCTCTTAACGTCATCCTCTGTGGCTACTTTCTATTTTTTTTAATAATATTTACTTAATTATTTTAGAGAGAGTGGGGGAGAGGGGCAGAGGGAGAGAGAATCTTAAGCAGACTCCCTGCTGAGCACAAGTCTGACATGGGGCTGGATCCCAGGACCTTGAGATCGTGACCTGAGCCAAAATCAAGATTAGAACACTTAACCAACTGTGGTACCCAGGCGCCCCTACTTTCTATTTGTTTTTTTTTTTTTTTTTTTTTTTTTAAAGATTTTATTTATTTATTTGAGAGAGAGAGAATGAGAGAGAGCACATGAGAGGGGGGAGGGTCAGAGGCAGAAGCAGGCTCCCCGCCGAGCAGGGAGCCCGATGCGGGACTCGATCCAGGGACTCCAGGATCATGACCTGAGCCGAAGGCAGTCGCCCAACCAACTGAGCCACCCAGGCGCCCACTTTCTATTTGTTTTAAAAGAAGCCTGAAGTCTTTCTGCTCCTTGGTCTCAGGAGGTTTCTTCTTATGTGGCTGAATTCAAATATACTTAAAAACCATGTGACCTTCCACCCACTCTCCACCCAACCTCTCCAGCCTCACCACAATAAACCTTACTAAAGAAATTTTTCTAAGGTGTCACAGAAGAGGTCCCTACTCTAGAGCCTTGGATGTGAAAAGATGGGAACGAGGGAGATTTCCTAAGAATGGGAAGGGGGGTATATTTTGTTCCCAGCAGTAAGAATAGCACATCCTGTTGTAGGCAAGGCCTCAGAGGGAATGGCTTCCTGATGCCCACGGTGGGGGTCAGACCCTCAGGACCAGGACTGCTAGGCTAGAATTAGATTCTCTTGCTGGATAGAAAAGAGCAAAGATTTCTGGTTCAGTGGGCTTTCCCCTTGTAGACACTGAATGTATGACTACTTGCAGACTGAAATCCCAAAGGCTTTGCCTGAACTTTCTGTTCTCTGTAAGACCCCTAGGATCTTTGCTTTACCTGAGGTGGAGCAGAGGGAGAGATTGATCCTCAGTAATTTTAGAAATGGAATAATATTTGAGAAGAATGGGGAAGTTAGAATTTGATATAACTTAAATTTAGAAAAAAGGTAAGGCAACATAGACTATAACATATACCCAATTAACCAAAGTGGGAAAATTCTGATGAAAACTCTTTGATTAAAAACTGCTACTTTTATAACAGTTGTGTGATTGACCTTTGGCCCAGAAGTATAACTGACATCATTCTTTACAGGACTGAATTGGCGCAGATGCACAAGCCTCAGCTGGTGAACCCAGAGTTCACAGAACATCACGGGAATCCTAGATATATACTGAACAACTTCAGGGGTAAGAGCCAGCCCTTTGGCAATCAGTCCTCGATCTCTTTAGTGGTTCTTGGGAATGAGCCTTCTTCCTTTTTAATTTTATTTATTTTTTGACATGAAGGTAGTATATGACTTTCCAAAGTTATTATCCCTTTTCTCTTTGAATAGTCATATTACAATGATCAAGACTAAATTTTCCAACTTACACTTTACTGCAAATGCAAAGCAAGATACATATTTTTAGTTACATCTGACACACAGAGCAAGAGAAGACAAGCATCAGGCTGGTCACGTGGTTAGGAAAAACAAGACTATTTAGTTCTCAGAATAGCAAAAAATATTGTATGTTTATTCAGTTTACTCCACTCCTAAAAGTTTAAATACAGCAGTGGTAGTTTTTAATTTGTTCTATATTCGAGTGCATTTATCATGCATTTTATGAAGAATATTTATTACTTATAAACTCAGAAGGTTTTGACAGAGAAAGACCAAAATTGTCATTGGCAGGATAATTGTAATGTTATTAGATCAATCTCAAAACCCTGAAAGGTGAGGGATGTGTATATGAGCAGGGCTCAACCATAGCAGGCCCACAATAGAGAGCCTGTCTAGACAGCAGAGGGCTGAAATTGGGATTTGACTGAATTTGGGGTCTGAATAGATAATGTAAAACCAGAACATTCTTTTCAGAAGTCTCTAAACTATGCATATGTGGATTTCTATCAAATTTTTGACATTTGAAAAATGTAACAAGTACCAGTTATATCCCAGTAAACACCCACATAATAGCTAAGTGCTATCTATTTATTAAATAGTAATAAAGACAAACAACATAAGAAAAGTTTTCTAAAGTAAAGAAAAAAAAATAGGTGTGTCCTGAAATAACTTATCCATATTGACATTAAATGACTGCTTCCCAGTTCACGATATACTGGATGTTTTTCCTTTTTCTGTATGATTGAAGGGTTTCTGTGTGTATAGAGGCAGCGACAACTCTTGGTCTTCATAGATAAGCCAATCTGAACTCTCTGTACTCTGTTTTTCATTGCCTCTGAGGGGAAATGAAGAAGGTAGTTGGTGGGTAGAGAGCCATGTCCCTCAGGACATGGAAATCCCATTTGCTGACCTCCTTTTTGCCTCTCTCTACAGTAGATAATGTTCTGAGTCAGGAAACCACTGGTAGCTACAGGTGCCTTTCTAAGGATGCTGGAAGTGTGACGCTTGGAGTCACCCATGAAGCCATATCCAGAGAGTCCCAGGGTGCCAAGAGCTTTGCAGCTCTGAGACCTCAGGTCTTTACCTCTGGTCAGCGTTACTGGGAGGTGGATGTCACATGCTCCCCAAATTGGATTCTGGGAGTCTGTAAAGATTCCTTGACCAGTGATAATGATGGCATTATTCATCCTGTGGAAGCATTTCTTCTGTTTTCTTTGAAGATAAACAATCGTTATGGTCTCTCCACAAACTGCCCACCCCTAATTCAGTATGTGAAACGGCCTCTGGGTCAGATTGGAGTGTTTCTGGATTATAACAATGGAACTGTGAGCTTCTATGATGTTTACAAAGGTTCCCTCATATATAGTTTCCCTCCTCTCTCCTCTTTCCCTCTGAAGCCTTTCCTTTGTTTAGGTGCCCCCTGAAAAATCAAGTTTCATGAGCATTTATTTGATGAATTCCCTTGTCTGAGGGAATTCCTGTCCTGAAACCTTTTCATGTGAGGCCACAGGATAATAGTGGTCTTTAAGAACACTGTGACTTAAGACAACAGAACTATTGTATGTTTATAAAATGGTATAACCACGTTGAATTATAAATTTGTTTATTAAGTTTTCTTTTAATAAAAATTGTTTATTTTGGAGCATTTTCTGGAATATAATCAATGCCTTTTCCTCTTTTTTAATAACAGTTTAGTGAGATAAAATTTGCATACCATTAAAGTCATTCCTTTAAAGTACATAATTCAGTGGTTTTTGGTCATATCCAAAGAATTGTGCAACTGTCATAACTATTTAATCCCAGGACATTTCCATCACCCCCCCAAAAAAACAAAAACCCATTAATATTTACTCCCTGATCACCTTCCCTTTCCTCCTCAACCCTAACACTACCTTGAGTCTTTATGGATTTTTGTCTATTATGTACACTTCATTCAAATTGGTCACATAATGTGTGGGGTTTTTTTGTATTTGGTTTCTCTCACTTAGCACAGTGTTTCCAAGGCTCCTCTGCATTCTGAGCAATGTGTTTTACTTGCAGATTTGAACCAGGCTGGGGTAGAAGAAATGCAGTGGTATATGTCTCAGTTTAATAAGTCAAAGGAGAGGTGCTTAGTCTTCTCTTCAAGTCTGACCTAGTTGGCTAGATGCAAGTATCTGACAGACATTATCATTTCTCTAAACTCTAGTCACTCATCACATCTTGGCTGAAACAAGAGCTTGTTAATATCATCCTCTGCTCAAAGTGCAGTATCTGAAACACTCAGACCCTTGTTTTTCCTCATAAACTACAACGAGGGCCAACTTTCAGTATCATGCCAATGTTTCAAGAAAACTTTTTCAGAACTAGCATAGAAAATGAATAGTTAATTCGCAGGGACGCATATAAAGAGGAAAATGTTCATTTAGCATGTTGTACCGCTTCCTATAAATTCTGTCTATAAGGGATCCCACATTTGAACCTGTGATAAGGAGAACATGAGCAACTATTTGCATATTTCTCATGTCAATGGAATGCAGCCTGGTATTTATTTCTCCTCAGTAAAGTTAGTCTTGAACATGGGACTATAAATCTATAACCCTTTTGCCAAAATTCCTTCCTTCTCAGGAATCATTTTTATGGACACTTCTAAAATTTGCAATTTTCTGTATGTTTTGTAAAATACAAGCCTTCATGAACAAAGCAAAAACTTTACCAAAGTAGTAGGCAAATAACAGTAGGTAGAAAATAATATAATGCAAATCAATAGATAAATACTAATTACCTATTAGAAAGAAACAGGCAAATATGATGAACAAATTCATAAATGAAGTATCCCGTGTAATCCATACCACACATGCTAAGGGAAAAATCATTATTAGGCACTTATAGCATTTCCATATTCCCCTGTTAGTTTGGAAAATAAAATGTTTAGGTATTAAATTTAAAAAATAAAAAAATGTTGATAATATTTAGGGTTAACTAGAGTGTAAAATAAAGAGCATTTCCACAAACTAGTATGCTATTTTAGCACACAAGTTAGTACCTGTCCTGTGAAGCAACTCTCAATTCCTTTTCAACTACTTTTAATAAGCACCAAACAACACAAGGAAATGTAATAGATATTCACTAAAGCATTATAATTCTAATGATTGGAAAGTCTATGAAAGTCTGCTCTGGATTTGGTGACTTAATTATAAAGAACAAAGTAGGAAAGGAGAGTATTAGTAACTTTACAGGAAGGAACCTGGCAAACAGTGCCTTAACTAAATGATCGAATTTAATATCACTACTGATGTCATGTGGATATCATGACTTGTGATGAGTCTGGCACTTCAGCTCTGTGGTCTTCCTAGCTAACAATGGATCCATAATCTACAAGGAAAAGACTAATACACAAAGAAATAGTTTTCCCCAAGAAGTAGAGGTAGTGACAGAAGGAAAATATACTTCTAGGGAATATAAGACAGACTTTGTACCAAAGAATTTCAATCAAAATGACTAAGTCAGAAAGTATTTCCAAGACGATGAAATACTTATTTCTTCCAAAGGGAAAAGATGGTGTAGGAGTAGGGGACCCTATTCCAACCAGTCCCCAGAATTGAGCAGGATATCTACCAGACCACTCTGAACACCCATGAAATCAACCTGAGATGTAAGAAGATATATCTGGATTTCTACAAACAGAATATCACAGGTAGTGGGTTTCAAGGTATGAAGCTGGGAGCCTTGATTCCACAGGCAGATACCCGAAGATAAATGGAAGCAAGAGGGAGCTGTGGGGATCCTGCACCACCAGTGAGCAAAAGCCTCCTGAGCTGGGGACAGGGCACAGACTCGCAGATTGGTAGCAGCAGGGAAAGGACTTTAGGGCAGCCCCCCAGACTGAAACCTGGAGCAGTGGGGCTGTGCATGGGAACTGAGGGTGGCTGGTGGTTTTAGAAGCACAAAGGACAGAGGTGTGCCCCGACCTGGAGGCGAGGACTGGGAGCACTGCAGAGGGATGCACAACCCAGGACGCTGTAGTTTATAGCAGCACAGATAGAAATGGAGATAGTGTGGCCTGGAGAGCCCACTGAAGAACAGACTTCGATCTCTCTGATCTGAGGCAGAGGGTTGGAAACAATTTCTTCTGCTCTGACTCTCAAAAGAGAAAGAGATGTGGAAAACCACCAGGGAAAGCCGCCAGAGAACAAAAGCCCCCCAAAACCGGTTTTCATTGAACCCATCACCCCCCCACACACACAGGGGGCAGGGCAATTCTGTCCAAACAGGTTTGCCTGAGTAACAGCATGGCAGGCCCCTCCCCCAGAAGACAGGCTGGGGAACAAGATACTGACAACTCTAAGGTCCCTATAAAACAGGTGCATCTTGCTTGGGTTGTGGTCAATAATTTGGACTCTGTACATTCCCTCAACCACCCCTCAACAGAATGACTAAGAGGAGGAGCCCCCAAAATAGGAAAGACTCAGAGACTGTGACTTCTGCCACCGATTTACAAATGGATACAGATATAACCTAGATGTTAGAAATGGACTTCAGGGTAAAAGTTATGAAGAGGATAGCTAGAATGGAGAAATCGATTAATGGCAACATAGAGTCTCTAAGGGCAGAAATGAAAGCTGAACTGGCAGAACTTAAAAATGCTATCAATGAGATCCAGTATAATCTAGATACAACAACAGCTAGGGTAAACAAAGCAGAAGAATGAAATAGTGATCTAAAATACCATTTGATAGAAAAGAAAGAAAAAGAGGAGGCTTGGGAGAAACAGCTCAAAATCCATGAAAACAGAATTAGACAAATAGTGACACCATGAAATGTCCCAATGTCAGAATTATTGGAATCCCTGAGGGGGTGGAGAGAGAGAGAGGACTAGAAGATGTATTTGAGCAAATCGTAGCTGAGAACTTCCCTAATCTGGGGAATGAAACAAACATTCGTGACCTAGAGGCAGAGAGGACCCCTCCCAAGATCAAGGAGAACAGACCAATGCCCCGGCATGTCATAGTAAAACTCGCATATTTTAGAACCAAGGAAACCATCTTAAGGGCAGTTAGGGGGAAGAGATTCCTTACATACAGAGGCAGGAACATCAGAATAACGTCAGACTTATCCACAGAGACCTGGCAAGGCAGAAAGGGCTAGCAAGACATATTCAGGGTACTAAACGAGAAGAACATGCAGCCAAGAATACTTTATCCAGCAAAGCTGTCATTTAGAATAGATGGAGAGATGCAGAGCTTCCAAGACCGACAGAAACTGAAAGAATATGTGACCACTAAGCCGGCCCTGCAAGAAATATTAAGGGGGTTCTATAAAAGGAGAAAGACACCAAGAGTGATATAGAACAGAAATTTACAGGGACAGTCTATAGAAACAAGGACTTCACAGGCAACATGATGACAATAAATTCATATCTTTCAATGATCACTCTCAACGTGAATGGCCTAAATGCTCCCATAAAACGGCACAGGGTTGCAGATTGGATAAAAAGACAGGACCTATCCATATGCTGTCTACAAGAGACTCATTTTGAACCTAAAGATACATCCAGACTGAAAGTAAAGGAATGGAGATCCACCTTCCATGCCAACGGACCTCAAAAGAAAGCTGGGGTAGCAATTCTTATATCAGACAAATTAGATTTTAAGCTAAAGACTGTAGTTAGAGACATAGAAGGACACTATATCATTCTTAAAGGGTATATCCAACAAGAAGATCTAACAATTGTAAATATCTATGCCCCCAACATGGGAGCAGCCATCTACACAAGCCAACTGTTAACCAAAATAAAGAATCATATTGATAACAATATGTTCATTGGGGGAGACCTCAATACTCCACTCTCAGCAATAGACAGATCATCTAAGCAGAAAATCAACAAACAAGAGCTTTGAATGACACACTGGACCAGATGGACCTCATAGATATTTACAGAACATTCCACCCTAAAACAACAGAATACTCATTCTTCTTGAGCGCGCATGGAACTTTCTCCAGAATAGACCACATACTGGTCACAAATCAGGTCTCATCCGATACCAAAAGATTGAGATTATTCCCTGCATATTCTCGGACCATAATGCTTTAAAGCTGGAACTCAATCACAAGAAAAAATTCGGAAGAAATTCAAACACTTGGAAGCTAAAGACCACTCTGCTCAAGAATGTTTGGGTCAACCAGGAAATCAAAGAAGAACTTAAGCAATACATGGAAACCAGTGAGAACGAAAACACATTGGTCCAAAACCTATGGGATACTGCAAAGGCAGTCCTAAGGGGGAAATACATAGCCATCCAAGCCTCACTCAAAAAAATATAAAAATCCCGAATTCAACAACTAACTTTACACCTTAAAGAACTAGAGAAAAAGCAACAAATGATGCCTAAGCCACACATTAGAAGAGAAATAATCAATATTAGAGCAGAGATCAATGAATTAG